TTTTTTATTTTAAAAATAAAAAACACGAAGTAACATAAAAAACATATACAATCTATATCATAAAAATATACAAAGTAAAAATACATCATATACAAACATTATAATGAAAATGAAAAAATCAATAATATGTGATTTACAAATCAGAATCTAAAAGTGTACAAATCATATCATAAATGTGTACAAACTAATACTACCATGTATACAAAATACAAGTACTTACAATACAAATTGATGTGAATTCTTTTACAAATCAATAATATACAGTATACAAGCTATATGATAAAAGTATACAAAGAAATATTAAAAGTATTAGAACCACATTATACAAATCAAGTTAAGATTATATAAAAAGATTACTAAGAACATAATATATCACTATTAAATATTACAAAGTATATAGACCACGTCATAAAAGTATTCAAATTAATATTACAAAGTATACAAATCTCATCATAAAAGTATACAAATGATACTAACATTGTATACAAAGCATACTAACTATACAAATTACAACTACTTACAATACAAACCAATAATACAAAGCATACAACTTAGGAGTATAGAAATATTACAAACATGGTTGACAAAAAATGATAAACATGGTGGACAAAAATAACAAAGCTTACAAACATTACAAATGAAGCCAACAAACATTACAAATCGTACAAATACCACTACTTATAATACAAACTGATAAACCGGTATTACAAACCAATAAATACAAAATATACAAAAAGACAAACAGACACTACGAATTACAGTATATACAAATTAGTCTTATAAAGATTACTAACGTAATAGATAAAAATGACAAACTAGAATAATAAACGATACAAACTGAATTAATACAAAATTACAAAATAGTATGACAAACATAATAAACAGCCATTGTCGCCGGAAAATCCCCAATCGTCAGAACATCCTCTCTCTCTGTCTCGGGAAAATGGCAAATGGACCGTATAATATATTCCCACGCCACCCCACTCTGGGGAAAATCGCAAATGGAGAGTGGAACGTCGACAAAATTACCCAACTGGATCCCTCGTTGGCGGAAGAGACGGGAAACACAGATTTTATGTCCCCTAAACATCTCCCATCGCCGGAAAATCATCTCAGTTGCCGATGAAAATTCTCTCACTGCCGGGGAGGGGGGAAAATCCCACGCACCGGCAAACTTCGCAGCCGGTCGGCGGCAGGTCCCAGGCAACAAACGGTCGGTGGGAGCGTGGGCGATAGTTCAGCCCTTTTTTTTATTTTAATGGTTAAATAAATAATCTGTGTAATTACTATCTTGTCCTTCATTAAATGAGATTAATCTGGATCATTGGATTTTAATGAGGTGCAAGTGTGGAGATTGACTTAGGGGTCGTTTGCTTGTTGGATTTGGGTCATGGATTTGGTACCTAAATCCCAAGTTTGATGGATTTAACACAAGTCCATTGTTTGTTGATGGGTATCAAATCCGTGGGGTCCACGGATTTGGTCTTTAATTTGGGACCAAATCCGTGGACCCCACGGACTTGTAAATCCCACATATTTGTTTGGGATTTGTAAATCCATGATGGTTGTTAGTTGCTTATGTGACAAATCCATCATAAATCCATTATCAATTCTATCATGCAAACACTAGACTTTTCAAATCCATAATACAATAAATCCCTCATGAATCCCAAGGTTTTTGTTGCACAAAACCTTCATTTTTCAAATCCAACAAGCAAACGACCCCTTAGGGGTCGTTTGCTTGTGGGATTTGGGTGATGGATTTGGAACCCAAATCCCAAGCATCATGGAGTTGACACAAATCCTTTGTCTGTTGAGGTACACAAATCCGTGGGGTCCACGGATTTGGACCCCTTTTTAAGATCCAAATCCGTGGACCCCACGGATTTGTAAATCTCACATTTCATTTGGGATTTGACAATAGAAGGAAAAAATGTAAGACAAATCCATCACAAATCCATGATAAAAAATCAACTAAACAAACAACGTACTCTTCCAAATCCATGATGCAACAAATCCATCATAAATCCAAAGGTTTTTAAAAGGCTAAATTACATGTTTCATCACTCAAATTACATAAATCTTTCACATTTGCCACCGGAATTACTTTTCTTACTTAATGACCACTAACTTTACGAATTGTTTCACCGTTAGTCACCGACCGTTAGTCTCCGTTAGATTCCATTAACACCGTTAAATTTTGTATGATGTGGCAAACAGAACTGCTGACTAGGGTGAGCAGAAGGCTGAGTTGGAATTTATTTATTATTTTTTATAAAACCAAACCCAATTCATTTCTTCAACTCATCACCGGCAGCGGGCCTCCTCCCCCTTCTCATATGATTCCTCCATCTTTCTCATCCTTTTTCCTCTCTCTCTGTCCCTTCTCTTGTCGGCGTACTGCCTCTGCCTACCTCCCTTCTCTATCAAAAAGATTTCCCGAGATCTGGTTATGTTTTGGAAGATTTCCCTAGATCTGGTTATGTTTTTGGAAGATTTCCCTGGATAATGGCGTCGATTCCCGCTGGAGGTTGCGACGGTCTGGAGAGGAGGTTATAGCGACTGGTCTTGGCGAAATAGTGGCTGCTCCGACGACGATGGGAAAGCTTGGTGGTGCGGCAGACTAGTATGCTGAAGGTGGAGGAGGTTACGGCAACAAAAGACACGGGGAAGAGGAAACGACAACGAGGGCGGGAGAAGATGCTAATTCTCCCTCTCTGTTTTATCCTCAGCAGATCCCGACGAGACCAAGCACGCTGAGATTGAGCGTCGAATCTGGGAAGGCGGATGAGAAGTCCTTCCATTGCGACGTCGACCATCACCTCCATTTTACCCACCTTGAACAGCGAATCTGGAAAGCCGGAGGAGTGCTCATCCTCCTTAATTGATCCTAGACCACAAATTCATGGGTAGGGGACGAGGTTTTGTTTTGTTTTTTTTTTTTTTTTGCATTGAAGAGAAATAGAAAAATATATGGCACATTTATAATTATAAATTATTTATCGATTAAAATTTAATTTATTTTTTTAAATTGACATGTCACTAAGTTAACGGTCCCGTCAGCTGTTCTATTTGCCACATCATCAAAAATTTAACAGTGTTAACGGAATCTAACGGAAACTAACGGTCGGTGAATGATGGTGAAATGATTCGTAAAGTTAGTGGTCAAGAAGAAAAGAAAGTAATCGGGTGGCAAACGTGAAAGATTTATATAATTTGAGTGACAAAATGTGTAATTTAACCGTTTTTGAAACTCAAAACCTTCATTTTCAAATCCAACAAGCAAACGAGCTCTTAGTCTTGTGACTAAAGGACCCCACCAGTCTGGCCCAACCAACAACTTTATTATTTTGTTGGACCAAGGTAGCGGGTGGGATTAATTAGGCTATGTTTCAATTTTAGGTTTTTCGGTTTGTAACTCTGAATTTGGGTTTAGTTGACAAACATTGTATTCCAAATCAAGAGGCTTTTCATCTGAATTCTGATCCGAATAGTGGCAATTTCGGTTTTGATAGGTTCGAAGAGTTAAAACCAAACCGGATGCCTATCCCTACTCGACAACCCTGCAATCTCCTCAACCCAGCCATCAGCCAAGCCAGCTCACCGAAACTCAAGCTCGCATTCTGTTTCGGAACCACCTAACTCGAATCAAAATATCCCGTTGGAACAATCTGTAGTCCTCCCCAACTGATTTCACCACTTCGTAAACCAAATCGTTCTTCTGCAACTGAAGGGATCTCGGAGCCTCGCATATCAATTGGGGAAATCGCTTCCTCCTTCCCCCTGCTGCATGAGAGGAATCGGTCAAGGGCTCTCGAGACAACGAGGTTATGCTCGATGACGGTGGTGTACCACCGGACTCATGATGAGAGTTTCCAGGCCAGATCCGTCACAGAATTTCGAGAGGCTGAGGGAGTTCTTGCCGTCGGAAGCAGGGTAGACGGAGAGGTCTCTTCCTTCCTACCAGGGTCTCGGTACTGCGAGGAAACTATCAAGGTGATAGAGCAACGGAGGCAAATGTATGAAAATGGGTTAAAAAGTGACACCGACATCTAGGAAATACCCCAAGATTGTTCAATCCCAGCCCGAAATCCTCTTCGTCATCCCCGAAGCTCTCGCCATCGAGCTTGTATAGCTACAACACCGGCGCTACCTGCTGCTTCAGCCTTAGATGAGAACGAAATCATCATCTTCGTCGATTCTGAACGGGAGTTGCGTGTGGGTGCTGCTGTGGAGTGCACTTTCGCGGCAGCCGCGAAAGGTGGACTCGAGGGAGGAGAGGGAACACCACAAAAGAAACATGCGACTTATACTCAGACGGGATGAATCTGTAGGAAGATTGAGTGGCGCAGCGATCTCGAGGAAGAGATAGGATAGATTAGATCAGAGAGAGCGAGCTCTTAGTTGTTCGCCTGAAGCTTTCGTTGCCAATCGGAAGGGAGCATCAAAAGAGAGCAGTTTGTTTGTTATTTGTTGTTTGGGTTGATTATAATTTTTGTGTTATGATAATGAGGTGGAAATTGTAATAGATTAGATTTTATTTTTTTATTATTTTTTAATTGTCACATCATTTATTTAACGGTCAATTCTCAGAGTTGACTGCCACATCAGATAAAGTTAACGTAGACTAACAAAGAGTGACAAGACTTGGAGTGTATAACTAATTTAATTGACTACGGATGAAATTTAATTTTAGTGACAAACATAAATTTTTATAGTAATTCTATTGACCAAACTTGCAATTTACCCTAAATTATGAATATAATTTTATAGATCACAAACTACACATTCCTTCTATAAAAATAACTCAATATCTAAATTACGAAGACAATTCAATATCTAAAGTAAAACGAACGAGATACAAGTTGATAAATAATATCGAGAAAAAATTAATAATAATCTCTATAATCATATGAATTCGCTTAAAATTTGTAGAAGTGATGTGATGATCCACACCAATACTCTAGATTATGAAATTGATTCTACACCCCTTATCATGCCGATTTAGCGAATGGAAAGAAAGTATTTTTGTTTGTTGTGGATAAATATGGAAAGGGAGTGTCGTTCCATTCCATGTCGACTAAAGTCGACTAAACGACATTAATAGCTGAAGTTGATTTCTTCTTCAGCGCAAAAACATGGGGCTTTTGCTGCTGCTGGTATGGTGCTGACCGATGAGAGTCTATCCCTTGGCACTCGCAATACTCTATCCCTTTCCCTCCTCTTTTCTGGATCAGTTCCTTTACAACTTGTCTAATAAAAACATATAAACAAACACATCTAATTGGACGAAATCATCAGTGAACGCTTTGTTCCAATTAAAGAATTCCAGAAGTGGTGATGAGAGTCTATCCATTTGTAGTTCGATCAGGTCAATCGTCCACCGTTCCATGGACAGAGATAGACGACAGCCAAAGAGCCGCCTGATGCCAAAAGTTGACGCCTGCATCTCATTCTCACATTTAGCGAACACAAAGCGCCAAGGACTAGAATAGAAGAGGTTGGCCTTCAAAAGTGAAACATCTGTACTTGCTGCTGTTGTATCTTTTTTTTTTTTCTGTGTTTATCAAATGATAGAATGAAAGCAAAGAAAGGTCCAATGCGACGATCTCTGAAGGGAATGAAGGATCATACAATTCCATTCATCCATCTCCAAAACGGCCTGGGATTTTATACAAAAGCTCATCATCACACACAACACTACTTGATTTCTGCAATATACAGTCCCGTAGCGCTAGCGCACAACCACTATCAATAGCAGAATGAAAACCGGAACCCAGAACCCAAAAACAGGGGAGGAGAATGTACAAACCAACTGTTGGTTATTTATCCTACGCGCAAAAGAAGAAGAAGAAGAGGAGAAAATAGGGAGGGAAGAAAGATCATCTAGTAGTAGTTGAACGCAACCTGAAATTGCAGAGGAAGATGTTCCAGAGCCTTGACCAGACGTTCCTGGCTCGAGGATAGTACCTGACCGTGTAGACCCTAGACTCTCTCACCAGATCCTCCATCGTCTCCACAAACAGATTCAAGCTCCGCACTGGCGGGATATACAGAGTCAAAGGAACAGCCGAGAAAGCTACCGTGAATAACAACTGCAGCGCCATCTCTTCTCGTTCCCTTCTGTTGTCCGAGCAGAGAAAAATAGCCAAGCCTGATTCCCAGCCAACTAAAAGTAACACAGAACCCTTTCCAGGAAATTAATTGTCTATCTGGGTTTCCTTCCTGCTTGGTCGAGAGTGAGTGTATGGAGGGGAAAAGGTAAAGCAAACACGACACAATTAACAGAGTTGGGGAATTGGGTTTTTCTTTCTGGGTCTCTCTTGGGGAAATAAGTAACCTAGAAAAAGGAGAGCAGAGAGGTTAATTATTTGGTACAGGGAAAGAAAGAAAGAGAGAAGTGTCAGGAGGAATGGTAAGTTCTGGAAATATCAGGAAGCAAATCTAATCCTCTTGTTTTAATTTGTGTTGGTTTGACAACCAGGAGAGAAAGGGACAGCAAAACTTAGAAGTGGAAAATTTGGGGATGGAAAGGAGAGGAGAGGAGCGAGCGGGGGACGCGTATACCTGGCTGGATTCAATGGATGGACTTGAATTCGACTAGTAGAATGGAACAGCGGCGAGGCGGGGGTGGGTACGGACTCCTCCAGATTGGCTGCCGGCTCCCTGTCCCCCCTGATTTCCTAAAAAAATCCGCATAAACCATGTTCTCTCCTTACTCGTCTATTCTTTTTCGTTCTGTTTTTTCAACATATGATTGACCATTATTATTATTACGTCATATTACCGCAATTTGCACTTTTAGATCGATTTAATATAGGATTAGGTCGACCTAATCTGTCGCTTCAGTCTTATGCTAGAATACAGCTTACTTCGTAGCAACTTCGAGCCTTTTGTTTCAAACTTTCCAGATATCCATACCTACTACTTTCAGTCTTGACTTTGGAGACAAACATACCTACTTTCATGTGGTATAGATGTCCTGGACTCGAATCTCATCCATGCTTCTCGAATTAAGCTCCAAAGTAGGTTTCACAAACACTTTCCCAGACTTGGCCATTTTCAAGCAGTTTCCCAGTTTTGGCTTAGCCTTTTGATCAGGTTCAAAAATGGTCTTCTGCACTTCCTATTGAGCTCCCAAGCAGTACAATGTGTAGAGGGACACTCCAGCTTCAAAACAAGCCATAATCTCCAATTTCCATCGAGCCAATTGTAAGATATGAATCTCCAAAGTAGGCATCATGAAACTGTTTTTACACTGAAACAACATATTAGGTCGATCGAAAAGTGCAAGTTACGGTGACATGCATGTCACCATAGGCACACCCTTATTATTATTATTATTATTATTATTATTATTATTATTATTATTATTATTATTATTATGGAGTACCTGGAAAGGAGGAAGGTTTAAGGGAACCATCTTCCAGCTCCAGAAATACCAAAAGAAAAAAAAATTATAAAAATATCACCCATTTTTTAAAATTTCAAAAATACCACTCTTCTCACAAACCGTAGGGTGGGAGCGCGGTTTTTGCTGAAAACCGCATCTTTCGGGGCGTTTTAATTGACCGCATGGGGTCGGGGCGGTTTAGTTGACCGCATGGGGTTCGCTATGATTAGATACCCGAACACAAAGATACGTTTGTTTGAAGTTTCGACCTAGGTTAGGATTGATCGGTGAAAAAAATAATACAAACCGCTAGGTAGGAGGCGATTTTCAACAAAAATCGCGCTCTCAACCTGCGATTTTCGTGTAAATTGCGGGGTGGTGGTTTATGAGAAAGAGTGGTATTTTTGTAATTTTCTGAAATTGGGTGGTATTTTTGATTTTTCTTCTTTTAGTTGTATTTCAGGAAAAATTCCTCTACATCACTTTGAGAAGATTGTATGCAGGAATTGTACCATTTCGAGCATGAATATCTCGCCACCGCGATCGTGCTAACTCATTAGAAGCGGAGCATACAGGACATAGTAGAACATTGAGTTGTATTTCATGAGAAAATTAGATTATGTAAAAAAATATAATAACCATAATTTTCTTTATAATGTCAATTGTACACGATGATCTTTTAATTTAGCGAATTCGTAAGTAATGGAGTCTTTCTGCATACCAATAACATACTCTCTTTTAAATAAAATAGTTAAGCAATCAACGAGAAATTCATCGCTCATTTTGTTGTGCAATCAATTTTCAGCCGACTAATCAATTTGAATTGTTTGCTCACCACTATTCCCACCAGCTTCTCTAGTAATTTTGGAAGGGAACAAATCTCATATTTCTTTTAGTCTTTGACATTTTACACTTTTATGCATTTAGGTTTCATTGTTATTTTTTTCAAAGAAAATTATTGGGGCTAGAATTTCTAGGTCAAATTTAGAGCAATGATTTGAATATGTTCATCTTAATCATTTTGGTAGTTACACACAATCTTATTATAAAATAACACATGGCCAAATGGTTTAAATCTAAACATTTATAAGTGTTATCAGTGGCTGAGCCACTTGAAGAGGAGGGGGTGCTTGCACCCCTCCGGGTTTGGAGAATTTTTTTTTCCGAGTAGGGGTATATACAAATTCGAACCAATGACCATTCAGTTGCAGGAAGAATTTCTTACCATTTCGACCGAGTGAGTTTTGTTATGCAATGCACTTTTGTCTTTATTTATAGTAAGTCAAAATACATATGTGTAGCCATAACTTTACACTTTGTGACAAATATAGCCAAGTTTTAAAAAATACACAAATATAGTCATTCCGTCCAAAAACTTAACGTCAACGTTACTGATGTCGACTAGACTGACACTGTTTGATGATGTGGCACTATTTTGTCAAAGCTAATGACATATGGAATTGGAACTTTATTATTATTGAAATAATTTTTTTAACATATTATTGAAATTATATTGAAAGAAAACAAAAAATGAAAAGTCTATCTTTTCATCTTCCATTCCTCGTCTTCTCCGTCATCGATTCCTTCGGGATGAACGGAAGTCCACCTCTTCGCATTCAATTCCCGGCCGTAACTAGATCTGAAAAACTCAAACAAATCTCAGATGAAAACAAGGTCCGGACAACGACTTACCATCACCGCCATTGGCACAAGAACTTACAATCGGATAACCATTCACCACCAGCACCAAATGGTGTTCCCTGTGCGAACAGACGGCGATGAACTCATGAAGAAATACGCTCGTCAATAAGGAAATTGATAGAGAAGGAACTGGATTTGCGAAGGCTTCGTCACAAGATGCTTTGTCTTCTCTGACTATTAGAATTTTCCAGATCTCACAAAACCAAAGCTCAGAGCTCTGCCCCCTTCAATGGCGGTTCCCAAAATCGATTGTCATTCATAGCTCTCTTTTCTCGCCCCGCCATACCAAAGCCACCAAACCCACAAGAATCTCTCCCACAGAAATTTGATTCTGATCTAGAAACCTCACAATTGCTCCCTTCTCTCTCTCGTCCTCTTCTTTCTCTCTCCACCTCCCACTACCAGCTCGCGACGGCGACTTAAGACGAAGGAAATCCAATCGGCAAACTCGGGTCGCTCTCCTCCATGGTCGAGATTTGGAGGCGTCAGTAGCTGCAAAACTCACCTGTGCGAAGGAACCCAATCGATAGCCATGATTCTTCTTTAACCTCGACTATTATCCTTGCTCTCTTCGACGCTGTCCTTACAAGAAGGAAATTGAAGACGGAAAGGGAATTGAAGATGGTGGAGGTGAGGCCGTGCAGGTGGATGGGATCGTAGGGATGAGTTGGGACTTGGGAGGCGGTGGGTAAGGGGGAATTTTTGGAAAAGGGTTTTTTTTTGGCAGGCGGTGGTATCAGGTATGGGACTAGTTGTTTATTAATGAAAATAAATTAATGAATTTTTAAGTAAAATGTGACGTGGCGTACAGGTGGCATGGTGTGTCTTGTTGGAGCTGATGTTGGAGCTGATGTGTCATCCACCTCAGCGTAACGTTTACGTTATTGATAGAGTAACTGACGGTGTTAAAAAGTTTAACGGAAATGGCTATATTTGTCAAACTACTTTTCAAAATGTGGCTATATCTGTGTATTTTTCAAAACTTGGCTATATTTGTCACAAAGTGTAAAGTTATGGCTATACAAGTGTATTTTGCCTTATAGTAATAAATTGTTGTCTTTTGTTTAAACTCGCTCATTTTTTTGTAGCTCTACAACGGAGAAATTTCTTTTTTGTTTAAACAAAGTTGAAAGTGAAGAAGTACCAATTGAAGTTCACTTGTTTGTTTCACAAAATCAATTCCAAGGTACTTCTGAGTTCTAATTTGTAATATTTGATGAATGGAAGTCTTGATTTGTATGTACTGAACTTATTTGTTTGACGTTGTACCCGGTGTACGTGAAACTATTTTAATGTAATTGTATGAATTTAGAGTATTGCGTTGTTGACTTTTTGTTTAATTTAAAGTTGACTTTTCTATTGTATAGGTGATTTTTTATGATATGATAAAGACACCCCCCTTGGCCAATTTTCTGGTTACGCCACTGAGTGTTATACTAGTTTCGGATCCAGAAGATGGTTGGACAGTGGCCCAGGGTGGCCACCTCTAGATCCGCCATTGCTCATTAGCTATGGATTCAAACGACGATAGTGATGATCACGTGTAAGATTCAAAGGTGATGATGGAGGAAGACAATGAGGAGACGCATTCTCCTTATTGTGGCTTCATTGAAGACCAAGAGCTTCCTCCTTTCCACTAGTTCTCATATGTTTATCGTTTGTTGCGCTTCCCAAATACACATAGAAGGGTCAAAATTATCAATTGGTGAGCAATTGAAGTGGCACATCAAGTCTAGATTGAATGGGTTGTCTTCTTTTGATGACGGGTGGGGAACACGATCATACGAGAGGCTATGAGAGGCCAGTCTATTAAGTCTCTTATGCGTTCTTTGATAGGGATTTGATGTGTGATAACACTCAAATTATAGTGTTTATCATTCTTATATGGCAAAATACAGCTGTATATCCACAACTATCAGGTTTGTGACAAATATATCCATAACTATCGAAATACACGAAATATCCATTTCCGTCCACTCCGTTAACTCCGTCAGTTAACTTGATGACTGGACAGACGGTGGATTCTTAGTTGGCATGCTTCTGGCCCCACTAAATGACGTGGATTAAAAGAGAAAAAAATAGGCAAAATACAGTTGTATATCCACAACTATCAGGTTTGTGACAAATATATCCACGACTATCGACCATTATAAAAAAAAAATATCCACGACTATCGAAATACACAAAATATCCAAAAATCGGAAGGTTGTGTAACAAATCTATCCACTTTCGTCTGAAACTATAACGGCATGTCAGACGACGTTAAATTGACTAACAAAATGCTGAATCGATGCCATCTCACCTGCCATAATCCAACAAGCAACCAAACTTTACACCGTTATCTATTAGACCTCGATGCTGTAGTCTTCTCTGTTGGCGATTTGGTTAGATTCAAACTTGGTATCACCATGGCACCGACTGCATGGAAGCCGTCGGAGTAAAAGGGAGGCAATGGTTGGGGATTGTGGTTGGAATCAAAATTTGGGCTTGGGATAGGGTTATTTGGGGGTGGAGGCGTCGATCGGAGGAGGATCAGTGGTTATCGGGCGTGTTTCTAGGTTGAATTTTCAGTCTCGCTGTCTGTGGTTTTTAGGGTTTTTTATTTGTTTTCTCTTTTAATCCACGTCATTCAGTGGGGGTCAGAAACACGTCAACTAAGCATCCACCGTTTGTCCAGTCATCAAGTTAACTGACGGAGTTAACGGAGTGGACGAAAATGGATATTTCGTGTATTTCGATAGTTGTGGATATATTTGTCACAAACCTGATAATGGTAGATATATTTGTCACAAACCTGATAGTTGTGGATATATACAACTGTATTTTGCCTTTATTCAACTAGCCTATTTGGCATCTACGTGTAAAGTTTGGTTGCTTTTTGGCTTATGTGTCAGGTGAGCTGGCATCGATTCAGCATTCCGTTAGTCAATTTAACGCCGTCTGACATGCCGTTATAGTTTCAGATGGAAGTGGACAGATTTCTCACACAACCTTCCGATTTTTGGATATTTCGTGTATTTCGATAGTTATGGATATATTTGTCACAAACCTGATAGTTGTGGATATACAGCTGTATTTTGCCTTCTTATATTTGATACATTTTACTTTCTATGAATGCATCTTAGTATATTTTATCATATTTTATGTATGAATCATGACTATGTGATCCATGTGCTTTTAATAGCCACGTGATGTGTTTTTGTACCATTTTATGCCTTTTCGGTATTCTTTTTTGCTTTTCAAAGCCAAACACATTCTAGCATGACTTGGATTAGCAATTGGGTCAAATTGGAAGATTAGGAGAAAAAATAACTAGAATATCAAGGTGATTCGTCCATTAAGCGAGGCTAAATCGAGGGGAATCCTTCATGAAGTCATCAAAAACACCCAAGAGAAGTCCGCTAGAGAAATTTGAGCCCAAACTTACTAAGAAAAACAAGGCATCCTTGTGATGATGCCGGCCGTCGGTGGGCCAAACAACTCAAGGAAGAAGAAAAAAAACACGATGGACCCAACCGTCACGGTGCAAGCCCAAAAAACCTTTGAGAATATGCCCTGCTGCGTCCTCAAGTCAAGCAATCTGAGTCCCAATGGTATTAGGAAGCTTTTGTTCGCCTTTTAGGAGGAAAAAGATCGATAAACTCTTCTTTCTTCCACTATAAATAAAGGATCAGGTTAATGGATTTGGTAGGCTGCAAACATTCACTAAAATCACTCTGAAGAACTCGAGCAAGGAGCCACTGGGCTCTACAAGGCCGAATTAGCATTCATATGAGGGTGTAGCTAAGAAGATGTCTTCATCATCGATGGTGGTGCCACCCTTCTCTTCTATGTATTCGTTGTTAAGGATGTGATATGTTCAAATTCATTGTTAAGCATGTGAATTCTAAGTATGCTTATAGCATCATCTTTCTATGTTATAATGAGATGCTTTAGTCATTATTTATCCATGTATTTTGATGTTTATACCATTAGATGCATTAGTCATGTGATGCTTATATCATTCGAATAACTTATTTTTATGATGCTTTAATCATGCAATGTCTTCATCATATATTATATACTACTATATTATTTTTTATAGTATAATATCATCGAAAGTTGTATGGGAAATCTAACTTATGTGATATGTCGGAATTTTATAGAAAAACAACACCCAAAAACTAAAATATTTCGAAAATACCACCCTTTTCAGAAATACTCCAAGTATACCACCCTTTCACATAGACCCCAGCCTCCTGTGGCATTTTACAAACGGACCGCTGGGGTTAGGGGCGGTTCTAATTTTGGTCACAAACTGTTGGAGCTAGTTGCGGTGTTGTGGCCGACCTAGACCAAATTGCAAGGCTCCCATGCAGTTTTGTATCGAAAAAGTGGAACGCCACTGGCCCAAACTGTCCTATTTGTATAGACTGCGAGGGTCGCTGGCGGTTTATATGGCGTCCCCATCCTCCCGACAGCCACCATATCGACATGTATGGGGTTGGAAAACGTGGGGTTTGCATGTTTCTTGAAAACCGCCACTTCCCCCACTGGTTTGAGGTGGACCACAAGGGGGTTTGGCGGTTTTTACGAGACATTTAGCCTATAAAAAGCAGCCCCGGATACCCGAACTCCTCACTACTTCCTCTCCTTCTTCTAATTTTTGTTCTTCTCCCTACTATTTTTTTGAGTTTATGTAATTATATTACTTCGTAAGTTTATTCTGTTTTGTAAATTTAAAATGCTTATCATTTCAAAAGTATGTCATTTTCTTGGTTAATTACTTAATTTGAAAATTTTATGGTATTAATTTAGTTACGGTTTTATTGCAGATGTCCTTCCAAAATTTCACGCTTGGGTACGGTGGAATGGTTACACAGAAGAGACTGGAAAAGGGGTACGTTATGTAGGTGGTGATTTTCATAAAGTGAAGGTCGGTATGCGACCGAACCTTGAAGAGCTCTGTCAAATGTGTACTATGGTTACTTTCATGGATGACACGAGGAGATTTGATCGTATGGTGTATCGGTATCCAAACAGAGAAGGCGAGTCGTTGTGGTATGAGGAATGCTCATAACCACTGCGGAGGAAGTTGATGCCATGCTTGAATTTCTGAATGTCAATAACATTTCCAAAGCAAAGATTTTTGTTTCCACCAGGGAGGTTGAAAGTGGTGGAGGTCATTCTGGAGGTGGCCAAACA